ACCTCCTTAGGTCCAAGGGCCTTCTCCAGCCTCCTGCCCCGTTCAGCCCCCCACCAATACTTAACCCCATCTACACACATCCCTTGCCAAGGCTGTCGGTCCTCCTTACAAATCGGCCCCTGTTCCCTTGGGCAACCCATCTGCCCCTCTTCCCAAGGGCTACTCTGTCTCTCATCTCTCCCCCATCCCCCGTGAGCCCTGGGCAAGGGGCCGAAGGAATTGCCCTGTCGGGCGCAAAAGACCAGGCCCACACGTGAGCAGGAGGGAAGTCCAAAAGGAGCTCTTCACAGAAAGAGCAGCAGAAGCTTGGAACCAACTTCCAGCGGAGGTCGGAGGTCAATCATCAGGAATTGAGTTTAAACATGCTTGAGATAAACGCAGGTCTATCATCCGACAAAAATTAATAAACTAAAAAAGAGTAAAATAAAAATAAGAATAAAATAAAAAAATAAAAAAAAGGGACAGGCACGATGGATCACTGAGTTTTTTCTGCTGTTGGTTTTGTATGTTTCCGCGTATTTAGGCTCCGATTAAACTGATCGATTGCTAAAGGCCAATGCACAAGAATCCTCTAAGAAAGCCTCTGCTAGAGACTTTCTCCTACAGACCTGGACGGACAGGAGGAAGAGATGCAACTAAGACAGTATGTAGATGAAAGACACCTGAGCCTGGATGAGAACCGTATCCAAGTAAGCATCTCAGAGAGTCGACCTCGTTCTCAAAAAAAAAAAAAAAAAAAAACAAAGGGAGGGGAGGGGAGGGGGAAGCACATTCAGACGTGCAAGATGTTGTTACTATAACCTTATAATAATAAATCAGCAATAGGTAAACCTCTGAGGGAGAGCTATGAAGCACTACGAAGAGGCATGTAAGCCCAAGTGCTCCTGGCAGTGCTAAGGGCCTGAGCTTTGGCGCATAGTCATTCTGGCTACGGACAACGCTGGCTCCCTCGACTGAGAAACAGAAATGAACACCACCTCTAGAGTAGAACACGATGGGGAAACTTTATATTTTCTCTTGTTTCCATCACACACACTTCTGAAGAGCCCCATCCCCATTGCCCTCAACTCCTCTGGACATTCCCAACTAAGAGGATGTTCTCAGGTGCAGCTATTTTTGCTTCCTCTCCATGGATCACACGTTACCTATTATTTTTCTAGTGGTATTTACATATCTAACTTTCTCCAGCAATTTCTCCGGCCTTAGTAAACCTTCTGCCAAGGTACAGGTATCTTGCTTGTTCTGAGGTTCCCCCCCCCCATTTACGTACAACCTGCAATTGTTTAATCCCTTTTCTCTGCCAAATGCAACCACTTTTACCTCTGTCACACTAATTTTCAAATCCATATTCCTCATTGCATCATCCAGCCTATCGAACAGCTCTCAGTTTCTCAGACAATAACGCCGCTTCAGGTGAATGCCAAAGCCCACGTCCGTCCATCTGCCCAGCCCGGACACCTTGAATGCCACTGCAAACTTTCCTTTAAACATTTCCCACCCATAAAGCAATCAAGAGACCTGGCAAATCTTCCTTTGACTCCCTGTTCAATATTCTGCTTATTTTCTTGCACGCTTTCCTTGTGTCGTGCTCTGCTCATCGCATTCAGCAATCAAAGTTCAAACTGACTCCAAATTTTCCATAATTCAAATATATTCATAGAATAATAGAATGAAAGGGTCGGTGGGGTCATGGAGGTCATCTGCCCAATCCCCTTCCAGACAGGAAGCGACAACCACAGCCCCCACCCACCCCCGGGAGGCCCCACCTCGTCCTAAGGCAACACATTCCATCAATGTTCCTGACCTCCAATCGAAATCTTCTTTCTTGTAATTTCAACGCTTTGTTTCACATCCTGCCTTCTGAAACAACTTTGAACATTGCTGCCCAACCCTCTCCATACAGCCACTCTTCAGATACTGGAAGGCCATCATCGTGTCTTCTCACAGGCTTCTCTTCCCCAGGCTAAACGTGACCACTATCTCCAAAATGGTCCTTACATGTTTTTCTTTTCGGGTTCCTAACACACATTCCACTTCGCTGAAGTCCATCCAAAATGGTGGTTTCCAGAACTGGATGCAATATTCTAGGTGGGGTCTGAGCAATGCACATTGGGCTGTGGTGGCGCAGTGGTTAGAGTGCAGTACTGCAGGCTCCTTCTGCTGACTGCCGGGCTGCCAGAAGTTTGGCAGTTTGAATCTCACCAGGCTCAAGCCTTCCATCCTGCTGAGGTGGGTAAAATGAGGACCCGGATTGATGGGGGCAATTATGCTGACTCTGTAAACCGCTTAGAGGGCTGGAAAGCACTGTAAAGCGGTATATAAGTCTAAGCGCGATTGCTAATGGAACAGAATGATGACACCTTTTTTGCTGGACATTTTTCTTCCTTTGATGCAGTCTAAGATTGCATTTTCCTTTGTGGATCACACTGTTGCCTGGTGTTCTGTTGGTGATCCACCAAAAGATCCAACAGTGGTTTAGAGTCAGCATAATTGCCCCCAACAATCTGGGTCCTTATTTGATCGACCTTGAAAGGATGGAAGGCTGAGCCAACCTTGAGCAGGTCAGGATCGAACTCCTGGCGGTGGGCAGAATCGCTCTGAGGTACTGAATTCTTACCGCTGTGCTACCAGAGCTCCTAATATCTTTTGAATTTACTGCTGCTTAGGATATCCCCCACCCCCCCACCCCCGCCTTGGGTTTTATTTTTCCAACCCACATGAACTACTTGGCATCTGTCCAGGTTGAAATTCATCTGGCTGGCTTCTGCCCAGGGGTTCCAGCCTGTTAAGAGCCTCTTGAACCGTGAGGCTGTCCTCCGCCAGAATCTGCTGCCTCCAATATTTGTGTGACATCTGCAAATCTAATAGTCCTATTCCCTAATTCCTCACCAGGCGTTTGTAAAGGTATGTTGCAGAGCCCAGGGCCTCCATGGAGAGCTGCAGGGTGTCGCAAACGCTTCCTTCCAAGTTGATGCCGGGCCTTTTGCCATCAGCTCCCTGGCCGTGAATGTTCGGCCAGCCCTGCGTCCTAAGCAGCGTCCTGCCTCCCCTCGTCTCCTGGGCGAGAGCCTCTTGGGGATCGTCATGGAAAGCTCGGCTAAAGTCCAGGGAAGCTGCCCTTCGCGGCCTTCCGGTTCTGACTTATCACGGCCACTATCACAAGGACGATGGTTCACTGCAGTGTTGCTCAACCTTAGCAGCGTGGAGTGGACGTCCACTCCCAGAATTCCCCAGGCAGCCACATTCCCTCCTTGGGGGGAGCTAACAACGGGTCCGCCCGGGAGAAGGATGGCTGAAGAGGGAGCTGCGGGGGTCCCCGGTTGCGCTCAGCGAGTGCTAGCAAAACACCGGCTCCACGTTCCCACCTCGGCAGGAAGAAGGCAGCTTGGAGACGGGAGCTGCTGCAGCCCCCGTTCCCCCCCAGCTTGATGGCGGCAGGAGGCCATGGAGGAGGAGGAGGAAGAGGGGGAATCCTGCCCACACCCTCCCCGCCACACTGAGAAACAACCATCCAGCAGGGCAAAGCTGCAGGGGGCTTCCAGAATGTGCTGAAACACTTTGTGCCCAGGAAGGAGGAGGGAAGACGGGATGGGGGCTGACAGGAAAGGCAGGCAGGGGGAAAAAATGTGTGTTGAGTAGACGGAGCTTCGGCTGCTTGATGCTCCTTCAGCACCAGCAAAGGAGAAGATTGGTAGCTCAGGGTGGATAGATATGAGGGCTCCTTGGTGACCTCGGAGCCTGGTGGTTTTCTTGAAGACCTTTCATGACCCAACTGGGGAACATCATCTGTGCTAGAAGGGGGGGGGGTTTGCAGAGAGGAGGTGGGGGAGGGGGAGGGCCTCCATAGTGAAGGGATGGGCTCTCACAAAGGTGTCCCAGGTTCAAGTCCTGTCAGACACGGATGCTCCCTAGTGGGACTTGCCTTCAGAGGGGAGAAATGGGATGCTAAGCTCCTGGAGAGAAATATGAATATACACCAGTGAAAGAAAAGGTGGCACATAGGTGGCTGGTGGAAAGGAAGATGGCCCAGCTGGTAGGTTGAAGGGCCAGGAAGTGTGTGGGAAGCCCATCTTCCAAAGACTGGTGCTATCAGCCCTTCAAGGTAGGCCACATCAGGAAACAGAACTCTATGGTTACAAAGAGAATCTCAATATTCTGATACTGGTCAAGACGGGGCAACCTTGAGTTTCTTCCTCTCCCGCTCCTGACTTGCTAAGCGAAGCAGATGCCTTCCCGGTGATCGTGGCCTGCTCCGAGGTCATCTCCTGCTCCTCCAGGGCCGCCTAATAAATGTCCCTCTGCCTCCTGAGTATGCTAAGCCGAGACCCTCCACCACAGAGAGTCCCGAGTCGGACATCTCCTGCAGCCAGCCCAGTCCAGAGGTCCAGGGAGGGCAGTGCTGCGGCCACCTCAACGGCCAATGAAGCTCAGAGGAAGAATATTTTCTCTGTCTCAGTTCAGCATCTCCGAACAAAACCCTCCGACTCCCCAAGATTTACAGCGGTGCTCGAGACGGTCATTGCAAGGGACTCCCTGCATACAAAACAGCTTTGCAGTCCATGAAAACACCGTCTCATGTCCCCGTCCACCGCAGAGATTCATGCTTTGCCTTGGTTCTTCTAGCTCCCCCCCTGCCAACACCAGTACCTGCTTGCCTGGCCCCGCGGACATCCCGTGGCCAACACAGGCCCCTATGTTACATTTGGTGGCTCCCCTCAAGTATGGGACAATTGGCGGTCTCTAGATAGCAGCCGCCTGTGGAAGAGGCTCCCGTCTTCTGAGCGAAAGTCTAGGCCACCTGAGAAAGTCACAACTGAAAGGCAGCTTGTCCTAAGCCCCACCTGGAAGTGCACGAAGGCTCGAGCAAGGGCCCTCAAGCAGCCAAGCCCTCGTCCCCTCCCTCCCAGTGGCCTTTGGGACTAGGGGAAACCAACGGTCTGCAATGGGCACCCCAGTCCTGGCTGCCTCTCTTCGATCTCCCTCCCCCAAAAGGCTCTTACCTGGTCGGGCATCGAACTGCCGCATCTGCACCTCCTCGACACATTCTGCCGGGAACCAGCCTGTCCGTCCTTTCACGGTTCCTTCCCAGAAGCCTCCTTCTCCGATGCTGAGCACTGTGGGGGGAAGAGTCAGATCTATTGAGGCCAAGCATGAAAGGGGCTGCCCCTCCCTCTTTGACACAGCCCCACCATTCCAGGTGCCCACCTGAGACCCCCGTGGCCCTCTCCCTTCCTACAACGTTCCCTCTTCCCCTCTCACGGGCCTGCTGAGGGAAGAACTATTCAAAACCCAATGAATTTTCATTTGTATGAAAATCGTCATCCATTTTTGTTCAGATTTTTGTAAGCTACCCACACTTGCAAGTGTATGTTTATATTGCCTAGCGTGTGCCAGGTTACAAGGCGCTTCCCCTAACCAATTCTATTTTGACCCCAAAAGGTACTCTTTGATTCAACTGCACCCCAAAATTCCAACAACTGCTCAAAGACAGGGAGAATCGGTTTCCTGCTTGCACATCAGCCCAGGAGGTGTCAGTCAGGGTTTGAGCCTCTGGACAGAGCGAGCTCCCCCATCGTGGCTCCAGCTGTCTGCTTAGGCCGAGTCCCTCTTCTGCTTTCAAGCCCCAGAAGGGCCCGGGCTGGTCCAGTGCGCTCTCCCCCACCCCTCAACACTTGAGAATCAAGGCACCATCCAGGTTCTGGCCAGGGCCAGGTGTGGACTGGGTGCAGAGAATTCTGGGGTTCGCAAGGCTGCCTGGGGAATTCTGGGAGTTGGAAGTCCACAAGTCTGAAAATCACCAAGGTTGGACAGCAGCTTCAACCCTGGAAGACTACCACAAAGCCTCCCCAGGGAGTGTTCAAAACATAAATAAATAATGGAAATTTAAGATTGTGAACACACCAAGGGCATTCACCCCTTAACCTAAGGCCCGGATGTCTCTCTGCATTGGAATCCCAACAGATATTTCATCCATTCCCAAACACCTCTGGGGCGAGAGAGTTTCATAAAACGGGGCTGCCCTTTTGAGGGAGTCCCAGAATCCCCCAGCTGGCATGCAAACGACGGAAGCAGCAGCAGCAGCAAAAACTCGGGCGTAAATGCCAGCGCAATCCCGGGCTGCATTAACAGAGGGACAGAATCAAGATCACGTGAAGTTTTAGTACTGCCTTAGTTACACCACACTTGGAATCCTGCATCCAGTGTTGGTTGCCACGATACAAAAAAGATGTTGAGACTCTAGAAAGAGCAACAAAGATGATTAAGGAGCTGGAGGCTAAAACCTACGAAGAACGGTTGCAGGAATTGTGTGTGTCTAGTTTAATGAAAAGAAGGACTGGGGAGGCATGGTAACGTCTTCCAATATTTGAGGGGCTGCCACAGAGAAGAGGGGGCCCACCTATTCTCCAAAGCCCCTGAAGGCAGGACAAGAAGCAGTGGGTGGAAACTGATCATGGAGAGAAGCAACCTGGAACTAAGGAGGAATTTCCTGTGAGAACAATTCACCAGTTAACCAGTGGAACAGTTGTGGCTGCTCCATCACTGGAGGTTTTTAAGAAGAGACTGGACAACCACCTGTCTGAAATGGGCTGATAGCGTCTCCTGATTGAGCAGGGGGTTGGACTAGAAGACCTCCAAGGCTCTGTTATTCTGTTTCTGTAAAGATGGTCTTTCTTGGAGTCCCAACGCCCAGCCTTTGGGGCTAACCATCAACAGCGTCTAACTTGAGAATTTTCACCCGGAGTATGCTATAATAACAACCATAAGAGCTTCTATCAATACGCTGGAAATGAAAGGGAAATGAAAGGAACAGGCTACCAGCTGCTGCATGAAAAGAACAAAATGCTGTCCCATATCAAAAGAGTCATTCAATTATTCTGGTTCTGTCTTCTTCAACCAAAAAGATCCCTTCCACTTGAAAATTGCAAAGAGTACGGAAATAGAAATAGGATTGGAATCTTCGTTCCTTGGAAGGCGTTGATGTCCCCGAAGCACGAAAGACCAAGCAGCTAAAATCCAGCCAGTGGTAGAGAGATACCTGGGGATTTTCTGGAGCAGATTATACAGTGATGGCTTTGCAAGACCCTTGAAAATAATGCAGCAACCACCAGAAATCAGCAGTGATTTGTCCCAAAAGATTTAGTCGCAGAAGACTCTCACTATTGGATTGGATCAGTTCCTTAACAGATTGTGGATATTCAGAAAGTCATAATATAACTTGACTCAGGCACAACATTTGATATGTCCCTTAGCAAGCTGGTTAAAGGTAGGCTAGATGGCATGTCAACTGTCTGATGGGGGTTAGAAAAATGGTACTACCATGTAATCATTAACAGCTCTTGTTCACGTTAAGGAGAGAAAATTTGTTCTGGTACCTCAATGTTTTTGAGGGCACCAGATGAGGGAATAATAGGAACAATTATCAACAGTAATTGGGAGAGGGACCTTGGAGTCCTAGTGGACAACCATTTCAATATGAGTCAGCAGCGTGAAGCAGCTTCCAAAAGGGCCAAGGTCTCCTAGGATTTGGAGCCAATCACCAGGAGACTGGGACTTCTAGTCCCACCTTAGGCATGAAAGATGTCTGGGTGACTTTGGGCCAATCACCAGGAGCCTGGGAGTTGTAATCCAGCTTTAAGCACAAAAGCCAGCTGGTGGCTTTGGGCCAGTGCCTCTCCCTCAGCCTAACCCACCTCACAGGGCTGTTGTTGCAGGGAAAACAGGGGGAGGTATATATTGCATCCAGTTTTGGTCCCCAGACTATTAAAAAGATGTTGAGACTCTAGAAAAAGTGTAGAGGAGAGCAACCAGGATGGTTCGGGGACTGGAAGCTAAAACATACGGTGAACGGTTGCAGGAACTGGGCCTGGCTAGTCTAGTGAAGAGAAGGACCAGAGAAGACATGAGAGCAGTCTTTCAATATCTGAGGGGCTGCCACAGAGAGGAGGGGGTCAAGCTATTTTCCAAAGCACCTGAAGGCCAGACAAGGAACCGTGGATGGAAACTGAACAAGGAGAAATTCAACCTAGAAATAAGGAGAACAGTGAGAGCAATCAACAGATGGAACAGAAGTTGCCTTCAGAAGTTGTGGGAGCTTCATCACTGGAGGCTTTCAAGAAGAGACTGGACTGCCATCTGTCAGAAATGGCGTAGGGTCTCCTGCTTGGGCGGGGGGTTGGACTAGATGACCTACAAGGTCCCTTCCAGCTGTTAATCTGTTAATCTGTATGTTCACCACAGTGAGTTACATATGAAAAGCATAACGGTGGGATAAAAGTCGTATGAATGAATGAATGCCAAGAGTCTATGAAGAGTAGGGGGTTTACTCTCCTGCACTGGACCTATTCTGGTGGAGGCTGCACATCCTCATCCTGGATGCTTTTAAGTTGATCTCTGAACTGATCAGGGAGTTGACCTCAAGGATCTTCCCCATGATAATGGGCTGCCCAGATTCCTCAGCTCTCTGCAGTGGGACAGAAACAGGCTGTGCTGGTGGGAACCCCGGCCCCAACCGCCTGATTGTGTGTCAGTGCAGAGAACAGCCGGACTAAAAGACGTTCCCTGGTGGCCAGAAGACTTGGTGTCACCCTTTCTCCTTCCTTCTCAATCTGATACATTCCTAATGAAGCCCACTGTGCCATTTCCTCGACTCAAGCCAGGCTCCTGGCAAGACCTTGCAAGCCAAAAGGCCTTTTGGGGGGGGGGGGGAGCTCAGATAAACGCCTGCCATTATTGCCTTGACCATCCAGAGGAAGAGTCTCTCCCTCCCTCCCTCCCTCCCTCTCTCTCTCTCTCTCTCTCTCTGTGTGTGTGTGTGTGTGTGTACATGACAACAGCGACTCAGTGCAGCCCCCATGCAAGCTGCATTTGGCTATCCATCATGGGGTGCTAATGGCTGCAGCAAAGGCAGGGCCCGTCCTTCGCATGCAGAGGGACGCTCTCCGAAGCAGCAGCTGGCAGCAGCTGGCACCCGAAGGGAGGGAGCCAAGCGTCCCAGCACCAACTTGGCCTCCTCCCCTCCTGCCATGACCAGCAACTCTTACACAAGGAGCAGGGTTGGATGGGGGTGGGAGAAAGAGTGGCTGGCCCGGCCATCCAGATCTTTCCCTGACAGCTGGACATCAACTGTCCCATCCAGCAGACCTTCCAAGGGAGAAATGCAAGAGGGAAGGTATCTCCTGTCTCCTTAAAGAGAGTATCAGAGTTGGAGGGGACCTTGGAGGTCTTCTAATCCAAGCCACTGCTTGAGCAGGAGACCCTCCTAGACCATTCCAGGTGGTCTAGTGACCATCTAGTCCCTTCTTAAAATCCTCCAAGGATGGAGCAACTCCTGGAGGCAAAAGCTGTTCCAGTGGTTAATTGTTCCCACTCTTGGGAAATGTCTCCTTAGTTCCAGGTTCTCTCCTTGATTCATTTCCCTCCTTTGCTTCTCATTCTAAACGGAAGGTCCGGGCAGTCCCTGCAAGACCCCAGCAGTGGTTGGGGGGCCAGGGACTCTGCCCCTCCCCCCAGACCCCCAGAGCAAAGGGGCTGCTTTTCAGTGGGCTGATCTCTTTCTTCCTTTTCCGGTCTCTGCACACAGAGGGCTCCCCCAAAGCAAGCCAATTAGGCAGGGAAGGAGCAAGCCAAAGAAGCAGCTGAGAAGATGACCCAATCAGGCTTAATCAAGGCCATTCCCTCGCCCTGCCCCCCCCTCCACCCACCGGTGCACCTGTTCCCTTCTGTGTGGGTGGGTGTCATCCCCCCTCCCCCTCCATAAATAAGAGGCAGAATGGCACAAGAAGGACTTTGGGATCTGCAGCCTTCATGAAAAGGGCCTGAAATTGTGCTGAAATTAGTCTTTTTATTACCCAATTTCTGCCCACGTGATTTCTGGTCCTTTCCAGGGGCTGGCAGGGGGCCAAGGCTGCAAGAGGAAGAATGGGAAATAGAATAGTCAGGAGACAAAAAAAGGCATCGGGAGGGCTGCACGACTTCTGTGCCGGAGCTGGGAAGACTTGGCTGCATGTGAGAACAGGGATATGATGGCTGTAAAAGGAAGCGGACAGGGTGCGGGGAGTCAGAAAAGGAGACAAGAGAATGACAAAGTTGGAAGGGGCCTTGGAGGTCCAGCCAG